TATTGTGCATAATACTAAATTTTCATTTTACGAAATACACAATAGAACATCGTAAAGTACTATACAAAGCAAGTTCAATCAAGATTTTTACGTTCGATCTTGAATGGATGTCAAGTGTAGTGATCATACCGTAGGCAATGCCATGTAAATGATAATTCATCGGAGTATGAAATATGTTGATTATATACTCGTCGAGTAGTTTAACAAATCAAGTTTTATATATTAATGTTTCAGATATGAAATATATTATCAATTAAAGAAATACCGATATCAATCTAAGGAGATTTATATATTAAATTTGATATTGAAAAACTTCTGTTGATCAACAAAATTAAATTTATATAATTAGGAGGTATTTATTCGATTAAATACGTATTTTTAAAACATATTACGAGTTTTAAAATCTTAATCGATTTTGTCTAAAATTATATATTATAGTATCGCTAATTTACAAAATTATCAATTATTATTATTAAATTATTATATTTATCGATAGTTAAACTCAAAATAACTACTTTATTTAAATGTTTTTAAATTTAGGTGTGTTTAATTTATATGAAAATACTTTAATATATGTAGTATTTTATTAATTGAATAGCATTTCCTTAATCTCCCCTTAAATCATTTAAATCATAACCTTATTGTTCAATTTGTTTAATTCATAGCCCTCAATCTATTCAATTCTATTTCATGTTCAATTATTGCCATTTATTTGCTTATTTCAATTATAGCCTTGAACACTTTTCAATTATAGCCTGTCTGATTCAATTCAATTCTCAAAACCCCCATCCTTTAATCTCAGCCATTCGTTCATCCAAATCAACTAAAACCCTAAGCCATCCTTCTTTCTTCATCTCCTCCTCCTCTATCTCTCCCTCTCCTCTATTCTCCTAGCAGCTCAGGCGAAGCAGCGAACGGCGCCGGCCAGCGAGCAGCGAGACCCTCGCATCTCCATTCCTCTCCTCTTCGGCGAAGTTCTAGTAATCCAGGTATTTGATTAATCATCATACATACATAACAGTACGCTAAATTGAAGTTTACCTGGACTTTTACATGGTCCAACAATTTCTCAAACACGTCTGTAAACAACTCTAATATTAGAACTCTAAAACTATTCAAATTTATTTAAGCTCTAGTTATATGTGACTGGCAAAACTAGATAATCAAACTTGGGACGGAAGAAGAAACAATGTCCGTGAATGTAGATTTATTAGGAGTCTAGACTCTCTAGAGAAAAATTATCTCTCGACTCACTTGATCCTTTATCTCAATATGAAACTGACACTCTGAAACAATAGAGTTCATTCCAACAATCTTTGTATGGAAACAAGAAGACATACTGATTCCCAAGTAATTTGTGACATTCGGTTTGCGAGCTATTGCATAGGAGCGGGGGTTTTACCCTGTGCGCACCCAAAGGGTAGCGGCTGCGGGTTTCCCTTGTCATCAAAAAAAAAAAAGTAATTTGTGACATTCATCAGTCATCTTACCCAAGAGTCAGTTGTATGGAAGTTAGTGAGCACTCTTCTGCATTTATTTTACGTAAAGACCATCTTTGTTTGAAAGATATACAAACACACCACTGGATAAAACAAACAAGAATCCTCAGAATTAACAAGTGGAGCTTAGGTATAAATAGCCATGTCCTATTGGAGAACCATTCAAGTCAATAAGGCAGAAGCAAAAACATTCAGTCACTCCTGCCAATGTTATGTATTCACATAAGAAAATAGAAAGGCTGCATGAAGTAGTAGCATCAAGTCAAACCATTTTACCTTTGAAGTATGGAAACCACTAGCATGCGCACATAGATAAGGACTCAACTTCTGACCTCCTCGAGCGCACAACATTTCAGAAACTAATTTCAGCATGCTCACATAAAAAAGAGACCTTTAATCAATAAGACAGTATTAGTTATCTATAATGTGTTTAAATTTCTAAAGTTTAAGTACAATTGTTTTCTATAATGTGTTTGTGTCTATCTAGTATTGATACTTAGCTTTAATTTTGTGATAATTTATTTGGGTACATCGAGGGTTGGCTTAGCTTTAAATTAGGTGATAATGTATTTGCTTAGCATAAGTACCAACATTAGTTGATCGTATTGATGACAAAATTGATTTTCTTGCAAAATCAATTTGTGTCCATCTAGTGTTGACACTTAGATTTAAATTTAGAAATAATATATTTGTTAAGCATAAGTACCAACACTAGTTGATCCTATTGATGACAAAATTGATTTTCTTGCAAGATCAAAATGTGTCCATCTAGTGTTGATACTAAACTTTAATTTAGGAATAATGTGTTTGTCAGGCATAAGTACCAACACTAGTTGATTCTATTGATGACAAAATTGATTTTCTTACAAGATCGATTTGTGTCCATCTAGTGTTGATATTAAGCTTTAATTTTGGAATAATGTGTTTGTTAATCATAAGTACCCAACACTAGTTGATCCTGTTGATGACAAATGATTTTTTTGCAAAATCAATTTGTGTCTATCTAGTGTTGACACTTGGCTTTAAATTTAGAAATAATATATTTGTTAAGCATAAGTACCAACACTAGTTGATCCTATTGATGACAAAATTGATTTTCTTGCAAGATCGATTCCTGTCCATCTAGTGTTGATACTAAGCTTTAATTTAGGAATACTGTGTTTGATAAGCATAAGTACCAACACTAGTTGATCCTATTAGTTGGTGGATTTAGCTGTTGGAATTAATTCAAATGTAGTTATAGTTAATGTTTTTTAGTTGTTGAAATAAGTTCAAATAAAGTTTAATTAACCCCTAGCTAGTTTGACTCATTATTTAAAATGATGTGGTTTAGTTGGTGGATTTAGTTGTTGGAATTAAGTCAAAACTAGATAGAGTTAAAAAGTTGTCTAGTTGTTGAAATAAATTCAAATAAATAATATGATTTAGTTGTTGGAATTAAATCAAAACTAGTTAGAGTTAATATTGTTTAGTTGTTTAAATAAGTTCAAATAAACAATGTGGTTTAGTTGGTGGGTTTAATTCAAAACTAGTTAGAATTAAAAAGTTGTTTAAATAAGTTCAAATAAATTATAATGTGGTTTAGTTGGTGGATTTAGTTGTTGGAATCAAGTCAAAACTAGTTAGAGTTAAAGTTGTTTAGTTGTTTTTAAGTTCAAATAAATAATGTGGTTTAGTTGGTAGTTTTAGTTGTTGGAATCAAGTCAAAACTAGTTAGAGTTAAAGTTGTTTAAATAAGTTCAAATAAATAATTTGGTTTAGTTGGTGGAATTAATTCAAAACTAGTTAGAGTTAATATTGTTTAGTTGTTTAAATAAGTTCAAATAAACAATGTGGTTTAGTTGGTGGATTTAAGTGGAAACTAGTTAGAGTTAAAAAGTTGTTTAGTTGTTTAAATAAGTTCAAATAAATAATGTGGTTTATTTGGTGAATTTAGTTGTTGAAATTAAGTCAAAACTAGTTAGAGTTAAAGTTGTTTAGTTGTTGAAATAAATTCAAATAAATAGTGTGGTTTAGTTGGTGAAATTAATTCAAAACTAGTTAGAGTTAATGTTGTTTGGTTGTTTAAATAAGTTCAAATAAATAATGTGATTTAGTTGGTAGATTTAGTTGTTAGAATTAAGTCAAAACTAGTTAGAGTTAAAGTTGTTTAGTTGTTTGATCGTATTTTAGTTTATTTTGAAGTTGGATGAAGTTTATTTTGAAGAAGATTAATGTATATGTTGAAACATATTGTGTTGGCAACTCTTTGGGCTGTTTTGGTAGAAATATGCAGGTGGACAACTAAAATTGCAAAAATAAATAAATGATACCGACCTCTGGAGGTCGGAATATAAAAAATAAATAATTTTTTAAAGATTAAAAATTAATTAATACCGACCTCTGAATGTCGGTATTTTAAAATATAAGAAATAAATATTTTGACATCCAGAAGACGGAAATAATAAAAATAAAAATAAACAAATATATAAAAGTGACCTCAAGAAGTCAGAAAATAAAATAATGAATTTTCCGACTTAAAATTAAAACTGACCTTGAAAGGTCGGTATTGAAAAACGACCAAGCTTTTTCCTACCTAAGCTGGGAAGTCGGTATTTGTAGGTCAGTATTCACTATTTTTTTAGTAGTGCATGATGTTTTTGTTAACCAAGATGTTTGTTTAACTATAACTCAACTTTTTTTTTTTTGGGGGTAGGGGGTGGGGGTTTGTTATTGCTATATTAGCAGGAAATTATAATGTAAGAAATAAAAGAAGTAATGTTTAATGTTCTGATGGACTAGTAACCAAAAACAAATTCATAGCTAAATATTGGCGCCTGTCGAAAGAAAATATGCCATCCATGAATATTACATTACAAAAACTAGATTTTATTAGAAGGAACACGGCCGCCTCTTCTGCCGGTAAAAATGATTTAAATGGTTTTGTTAGGACACAAATCTATTTTGTTAGGGCACAAATCAGTGAGAGACTCATAGCTTCGGTGTTGGGCCCTTTAAATTCCAAAGTTCCAAGGAGAAAGTGCATAATTACTCGTTTTTGCGGTTGTCATGCTATTAGTATCCGTGTTTTCGGCTGTTTTTGCCAAGGTAAAAGTTTAAATATTTTTGATTGAGGTGTATAAAAAAATTGGTTGAACTTTCTCTTAGCGTCTGAATCTTTTCATGTATATTTGCACCTCATTTATGCACGACTAAATGAGGAGAGTGAGTACACTCACTCTGCCACGTCAGTTCTTAGGGTGGTATTTAATCACTTCAAAATTATTAAGGGAATATTTAAATGCCTATATAGTTAAAGTACTAAAGTAATTTTGTTCTTAAATTTAAGAGGATTTGATGTATTTACTCAATTTTTAATTATAGTTAAATAAAATTTCAAAAAAAAAGTACATAATTAGTAAGAAACTATTAAGAAGATTTTAATTATAATTGTAACAATAAATAGAATCTAGTTTTTTTTATATTCTACTTGTGTATTTTGGCTCTTCCAAGTGTGGTTTGGCTTAATACGACACTTGTCACAGTTAACATTCTACATCGCCTTCGGCAGAGCTGGTCGTCTCTTTAGGTATGTTTATATCTCCTTCATCTTTTGTCTCAGTGCATTTGGTTCTCCTTTAATCTTGCCTCTTGCTCGAATTTATCTTCGGATTCGGATGTATATATTTGTTGTCGTATTTGAGCTTCCTTTTTCGAACTGAATTTGGGGATTTTTTTGCTTCTTTGAAGGATTTGTAATTTTGTGGCTTTAGGGCTTAGGGTTGAGCCGCCCTTGCTTTCAACTGTCCTTGTGGCTTTTTAGTAGCTTTAGGGTTGGGGGAGTTAATTTTATGATTGCTAATATACGAAATTATTCTTGTAGCTTTGACGGACAAATTCCACTATAGCACAAGTTTTATCTGTTACGCACAACTGGTTTTCTCCTTTTCGTTAGATGGGTGAGAAAGATTTGGAAATTGAGGAAACAAGTCCACCACGTAGAGAAGATGAAACTAAAACACAAGTAGGAAAAGTTAAAAAGAAGAAGAAGGTGAAGGCGGAAAAGCGTGGAGTTTGTCACGTAAGTAGAGTACCGCCTCGTATGGACCACGTGAAACTTCGCCAGGTTCTTTCTCAGTTTGGAGAAATTCAGAGAATATATCTTGTACCTGAAGGTTTGTTGAGTTCCTTGTTTATGCTCTTATATCTGATATTGGTTAAACACTTCACTGTGCTCCTCAGCTTAGCTTGGTTGTCTTTACTAATTTGTCTTTCATACAGCTGTTGCTGCTCAAATGAATCGGAAACGGGCAGGTGGATTCCGAGGACAAGCATTTTCAGAAGGGTATGCTCATATTGAAGTTTCTATCAACTGAAATCAGATTATCTATTATTTAGCATGAATTGTATCTTGCATCTGCATGATTATGACATTTTTTACCGAAAGTAATTAAACTATCATCTATATCTGTAGGTGGGTTGAGTTTACAAAAAAGAGTGTTGCCAAAAGAGTCGCAAATATGTTGAATGGTCAACAGATGGGTAAAACAACATATTTTCTTAGCAGTGCCTTCCTTTTCTTCTTGATTCTTTTCCAGTTTAAGGAATTATGTTTAGATGTTCAGGCTATTTACATAGCTTTCTAGCTGTTTCTTTTTTTTGGTGAATAGGGTGCCATCGTAGCATCTAACAGTAAGTTTGACAAATGTTTCTATTTTCTTGTTGAGCTGACTAGTTATTGTGCTTATTACACATTTTTAGGGGACACACCAATTATTCAGATACTAGCCAAAATTTGGCTTCTATTACGAATAGACTATCATTGTTTTGTTGCATTATGTCATTTGTGTCATAACAATGTAATTTGGTTATTCTGATTCAGATTTCAACTTCTGTTATTCTTATATTTTCAGTGACCTTGAGAGGTTATCGACTTTACTGTCAAATTTCTGTTTGACAGGTGGAAGAAAAAGGTCATCATTCTATTATGACATTTGGAATGTCAAGTACTTGTCTAAAATCAAATGGGATGATGTTACTGATGAAATCGGTATGCTGTTACTTTTTGGTTTATTGGGTAGTGATGCATTTTTCGATCTCCATTCACTTCTTAATTGATGCCTTACAAACATTTTGCAGCACAAAGGCATGCAGTTCGTGAGCAGAAACTAGCTTTGGAGCTTTCTGCTGCTAAGAGGGAGCGTGATTTCTACCTTACACAAGTTGATAAATCTCGTGCTTTAAGTTCTATTGAAGAACGAATGAAGAAGGTCAGTGATACAATTTTTAATTAATTCTTTAGCATGCAAGTAGTTGTTAAGCAGCATGTTTTGATCTCCCCCAATTGACTTTCTTATTTGCCATCTCCTTTTGAGTTTTTATTCTTTAAATAGTAGTTACAACATGAGACAACTCTAGTTTTTCGTTGATAAGCTCTGATGTGGATTTCTAATACATTGATTGATGTTAGAAGATGACTCTTTAAGCAAAACTAATAAAATATAGATGTTGGTTTGTATGTAAAATAGGAAGAGTCTCTTTCCCTCACCCTGAATTATTATTACTTGGTAATGTATTATAGCCAGTTTTAGTTTAGGTATTCGACCACTCACTTTATCTTACCTTATATCTTTCGCAATTGAGTAATATAGTATAGATAAAACTTTTTAATTGTTCCATCTTTACAGAAGCAAAAGGTGCAACAGGAATCTGGTGTAATTTCTGATTTCCCAAGTGATCAGTTTGCACCAAAGGTGATACGACAATTTCCCCAGAAAAAACCTGTGGCAGATCAAGCTGGGAAACTCAAGCCTAGTCTGTCTAAGGATGTTTTGGCCGGAGTAAGTTCCATTTCCCCCATTCCCTGCTGTGGTGAAAGAGGTAAATAAAAGACTTGCTTATGTTCTGATGGAAACTGCTCTTCATTTTGTACAGGTATTTGGTGGTCAATGACAAGGGCGTACGAGTGCAAACATTTCGGAAATTGTGCTTGCCAATTTTTTCAACCATATTTGATTTTGTTGCCTTCAAAAACATCTCTGACTGTTATTAGATGTTAAAGTTATAAGTAAACCTCAATCAAAATTTTTATCTTTATTTGCAGTTGATTGTAGATGTCATATTAAATGTGTGTGTAGCCTTGTTTAACTTGTCTAATTTCAAATGGACTAATGTATCTCTCATGGATCAGTGGATGAACCATTAGGACTTTACGACTGTACAGTCTGTGAGACGTATTGAGCTTATCTGTCCTTACCTTGAACCAATATTTGATTAAATACTTAAAACGTGTGGCAAAGCTGTATAATAACCCTCTCAAGGCTACTTATCCCAAAATCGTTCAATGTGTGTGTGAGATTCTGCTGCAGCCATGAAGCTCCTCAGAACCCTCTCTGGTAGATATCACTCTTCTTCCTCATTATATATTATATATACTCACTACTGTTCCATCACCAAACCATTTATTTGAGGTTTTTTTTTTCTTTTTTCTTTCAGGACCCAAAAATCTATTCGTTCAAAGTATAGGGCATCGATACTTTGCGGCCACACCAGAAGAGTACGCCAACAGAAACTATGCCAACAATGAGTCTGAATATACCACTGTTATTAACTCTATTACTGCTCAGAGAAAGTAATTTTCATCTCCAATTGATTTGAGATTAAGGCATACATACATGATTTTGATTCCAATTATTATAGGAATGAATTAGGAATTTCTTGTTGAGCAATCTGTTTAACCCTATTGAAAGAGGTGGCAAAGTTTTTGTTTCACCTGATTACAATCAATCTAAAGAACAACAAAGGGAAATATCACCATGAAGAGAATTGGGTACCTTCTTGAACATGGGGTTTTTAAGAAATGGCTTACTGGTAAAGGGCCTGAAGATGAGTTGAGGAAATTAGGTCTCTTGGATTGTCTTGGCATCTATGATCATTCACTTGCCATCAAAGTTGGAGTCCATTTTTTCCTATGGTATGTTTTTTTTTTTCCTTCATTGTGTTGCTTTTACGTTTTTGGTTTCTCACTCGGTGTCCGGAGCCTACATTGGAGCTCCGACTAAATTCGGATCGTGCTCTGTGGAGCCCATTCGCAGTAGCGCTCCCAATGGGATTTTCTTCATATCCAGGGCTCGAACCCGAAACCTTTGGGTAAGGATGAAACACTCCCACCAGTGCACCATAATCCGTGTTGCTTTGTTAGATAGAATGACATATAATTCATCGAGAACCATACCCGAAAAGCTAGCTATTAAGACGAGAGAGCAAAAAGCTATATAAATCCCTTTTAGTGGACCATAACAAACTACTAAACTCAGTCCTCAACGGTTCCACACTAGGTAGCTTTCACTCTACCATGAGTAGGTAAATTTGTATAAAGATGTTTAGTTAGTGTGTTTAAACACGAATGTATAAATTACGTGGTGTAAATACTTTTAATAGAATGTAATTTTTCCGTAAAATAATGTTGACATTTATCCCATGATCATCAATCACCTACCCCACCAGAATTTTCAACATTTCTAATAGTAGAAAATTCCGTCTCACTAGCATTTTCTTGATTTCTCATACAAAATCAAGCATCACTTTAAAACTCTCAATAATGGAAAAGTATAATCTTTTGTGTTCTTCAATGGAGAAAGTGAATTTCAGAACTAAAGTTCTGAGCAGACACCTAAAACAAGAAACCCCAATACTCAATGTTATACTCCAATCATTGCCATGTCTCAGCTACAATCTACCTGAGCTTTCAGAGCCAGCTTCTGTTTTTTACATTAAAGAGATGAGAAAGCTCATGGATGGTCACAATTTGGAGGAAAGAGACTGGTTTTTTGGTCTGATATTACAGAGCAAAATTTTTAACCCTGTAAAAAGAGGTGGAAAAGTGTTTCTTTCACCTGATTATAGTCAATCTAAGGAACAGCAAAGGCAAATTACCTTGAGGAGGATTCAGTACCTTGTTGAACATGGGTTTTCCAAGGATTGGCCGACTATTAAAGGGCCTGAAGATGAGTTGAGGAAATTGGCTCTCTTGGATTGTCTTTTTATCTATGATCATTCTCTTTCCATCAAGATGGGTGTTCATTTTCTCCTATGGTATGCTTTTTTGTCCGTTATGTACCTAGTGCGGCAACACTCGACTACCTACTAACCGTTTATTCTCATTTTCGATTTCCATACCTTAATATTTATTAGTAAGTTGATATTGAGTCATGTCCTATCTAATCACCTCCCTCAATTAGATTTCTGGTATAGCCAACCTGTAACACCTTCTTACCGGCACATCTACGCACCTCCTCTTCACATGCCCGAATCATTTTAGTTTCACCTTTCTCATCTTGTTTGCTACAGGGGCCGCTCCCCACCTTGTCCCTTATAACTTCATTTCTAATCATATCTCCTGAGTGTGCTCACACATTCATCTGAGTATCCTCATCTCCACTATAATCATCTTTTGGACGTGGACATTCTTGGTTGGCCAATACTATGTCCCGTATAACAATATCGGTACCACCACTCTGTAGAATTTGCCCTTAAGTCTTGCTAGCACATTCTTATCACAGTACTCCGAATGTGAGCATCCATTTTGCCTACCCGCTCCAATACGACGCGTGACATCAACATCAATCTCCCCGTTTTCTTGGATTATGAACCCAAGATACTTGAAGCTCCCTTTCTTGGGTATGATTTGTGCATCGATATTCATTCCACCTTCGCTTCATGCATTACGTCACTAAACTTGCACTCCAAGTACTCTCTTTTAGTCCTACTTAATCAGAAAACTTTAAGACTCTAGGGTTTGTCTCCAAACTTCTAGCCTATCGTTAACTATACCACGCGTTTCATCAATCAATACTATGTCATGAGCACGAACATTCTTGATTGCCTGATTAACTTGTAACAACCTAAGTAGACATTGAATTTTTATGTACAGACATTCAATGTTATTTTTTCCGTCAGACTTCCAGGGTATCTGCATACAACTGAGCTTTCTTGAAAAGTACATGATTGGATGATTTTTATGTTGGTGGTCAACTATTGCACGAAAAAGATAATTAAAGAATATTATAAGAAGAACCTAAATGGATGAAATTTATTGTAGAGACAATCTTGATTGGTTGGTTGTCGTTGCATAAATTGAATTTCCAGGTTATCAGAATATCATTGAACTTTTTGGTTGATTGATTCAGGGGTGGTGCAATCCAGTTTTTCGGTACCAAACGACATCATGATAAATGGTTGAAGGACACAGAGGATTACGTGGTTAAAGGTTGCTTCTCGATGACAGAGTTGGGGCATGGAAGTAATGTATGTGAAAGTTGTTTAAGTATATATTATATAACTTTAGAAAGTAAAATATTGTCCATTGTTTCTGCAATTCTAACTGATATATTTGCAAGTACCGTTCAGGTTCGAGGTATTGAAACAGTAACAACGTATGATTCAAGCACAGGAGAGTTTGTCATAAATACTCCATGTGAATCAGCTCAGAAGTATTGGATTGGGGGTGCAGCTAATGTAACTATACTTCCTCTCGGAAACAAATTTGGCATGTTTATTTGATTGATGTTTTTTGTTTGTCAACTTGCTAACTCTTGCTTGAGCCTTAGTCTAAATTGATATCATTTCTCTTGACTGTGTTGTAGCATGCAACACATACCATAGTTTTCTCTCAGCTCATCATTGACGGGGGAAATCAAGGTGTCCATGCTTTTATCGCTCAGATCAGAGATGAAAATGGAGACATTTGTCCAAACATCCGCATAGCTGATTGTGGTCACAAGATTGGCTTAAATGGTGTTGACAATGGCAGAATTTGGTAGAGAAGAGCTGTACTTGAACTTGGCTTTAAGTGTAGTAAATTGTAGTAAAAGTTTATGGCTTCATTTTGGCAGTTAGGAGCTAAGCTCTTTGTGAAATCTCATTTTTCAGGTTTGACAATGTCCGGGTACCCAGAGAAAATTTGTTAAATTCAGTGGCGGATGTTTCTCCAGATGGGAAATATCTTACTGCTATCAAGGATCCTGACCAGGTAAACTTAATTCGTTTAAGGCAATGATTCCCAATTATTTTGTTGTGCTTGATTAATACAAGTCTTTTCTAAGGAAGCATAATAAGGATAATTTTTATCTATTAGTGATTCTTTACGGTATGCCGGAGAAAACAGCCTCTGGCAGAAATGCAAGGTAGGACTGCGTACAATAGGCCCTTGTGGTCGGCCCTTCCCCAAACCCTGCGCATAGTAGGAGCTTAGTACAGGGGCTGCCATTTTTCTAGTGATTCTTTAGGATCATAGGAGATTGTTACAGTTTTGACAGTTCGTCAAGAAACATTGCTGAGGATAATGCTAACTGGATTTTGACAATTTGTTCCCAGAGATTTGCAGCATTTTTGTCCCCTTTGACATCTGGCCGTGTGACAATTGCATCTAGTGCAGTTTACTCCGCAAAGGTATGACAAGCAACAGTTGCTTCTACACACGTATTTTATTTACCAATCATAGTATTTTTCTGGCATATCATTTTTCTGTTCATGATGCTTTATCAGATTGGTTTGGCAACTGCGATAAGATACTCGCTGACAAGAAGAGCGTTTTCAGTTACTCCTAATGGACCAGAAGTTCTTATACTTGATTACCCAAGTCATCAACGGCGACTTCTTCCTCACTGAAATGGTCTATATTTTATTCTACCATGCATTCTTTCCTTCGTTCTCTTTGTATTATTATTCTTTATTTATGGTTTCCCCCCTTTATTTTGTTTCTTTCAACAGTACTACATCGATAAAATAACCAAAATCTTTTGTTGTTTTCTCTTTTAAATTGAAGTAGGTTTAACCTTTCAAATGTCCATTTTGTCGCTCCGTAGTTAACTTTCTGGCTGTAGGTATGTATAGAAACTCTTCTATGCCTGCTAGTTGAAACTTGTTTTTATAATAAATAAGCCTTTTGAGAATGTGTTTCAGTTTTTTTCCTTTACTAATTTGTCATGTTTTTCTTGTAGTATGTTCTCAGAGTCACTTACCTCCCACCTCCTCGGGGCCAATTGTTTTCTATTTTCAGCTACTGTACTTCTGCAATGTTACCATCATTTTTTTTTTCTATTTTCAGCTACTGTACTTCTACAATCTTATCATCATTTGTTAAAACCTACCATGCAGTCTGCCATTTTTTTGTAGTACATATGTAGTTTCTTCTGACTCCGATAAAAATGAAACAGTAACGTTTTCTTCCGTGATTCTTTTGTAAAAAAAGAATTTGTAACACTCTCAAGAGCATGCATGGTTCTTTGGGTCGAAAAGTTGATAGGATCATAGATTTTTTGCAGCAGCATTAGGTGAAAAGAGATATTTCATCATCTTGTAGCATTAGTAGTCATTCTGCATTGACCTACTCTACACGGCGCACACACGTTATTGATGATCTCTTTGCATAGTCACTAGGTAACTTTGTTGTTCGATGGATAAATTGTAATGGCAGGTTAGCAAGGCACTTTTTGGGGAATATGTGGCAGTCAAAAGGAGTAAGAAGCCGTTCAAAGGATTGGGATTAGAACACATGAACACCTCTCGTCCCGTCATACCTTCACAACTTACAAGTTCTACAATGAGGCAAGCCCAGTTCCGGGTAACAAAGCTTTTGTTTCCTTTTTCATTTTAGATGAATCATTTATCAGGTCAGAAGTTCTGATTGCCTTTATTCCAGAATGACATATTCTGCCTACGGGAACGAGACCTGTTGGAACGTTTTGCTGCTGAAGTTTCGCAATGCCAGGCACAGGGAAAAAGCAAGGAATATGCTTTTACTTTGGTAAGCATACTCTTCATCTTTATTCTTCTCTTATTCAGCTTGTATAGGGTGCTTGCATATAACAAATCAATGTTTCCCCCTCGACAGAATTATCAGCTTGCTGAAGACCTGGGGAGAGCCTTCTCAGACCGAGCAGTTCTCCATACTTTCCTCGATGCAGAGGCATCCGTCACATCTGGCCCCCTTAAGGTACTAACAAATGTCTTTCAGATCATTTTTATAGTTGTTAGACACAACTATTTAACTAAAGAGGGGGTAGGTGCAGTGGACAAAGTCATGAAATGTCTCACTGCCAGGAAATAATCAGAATGTTCGACCTTTATGCGTGATGAGAATGTGAAATAGAGTTTTCTAATGTCGTATCAATAGATAATATCTAAACCGTGTTGTATGTGTTCAACCGTGAATTATCTTGCAGAACGTTTTGGATCTCGTCAGATCGATGTATGTTCTGGTCACCCTAGAAGAGGATGCTGCATTCCTCCGATACGGATACCTGTTGATGGACAATGCTGCTATAGTGAGAAAAGAAGTTGCAAAGCAATGCAGTGAACTAAGGCCACATGCACTTTCCTTGGTCAGTTCCTTTGGCTTACCTGACGCCTTCTTGAGCCCGATAGCTTTCAATTGGGTTGAGGCCAATGCTTCGTCTTCTGAACAAAACTAGCTCGTCGTTTGTAGATTACTAGTTACCACAAGATACTACCTAGATTAAAAAGATATCACAACATGGCTTGTTCCTGCAACTTCTGTGCTTGCCATGAATAACCAATAGTCTATTTGCCGTTGTTCTTTCTCAAAAAATAAGTACATTTCACCTTTTATCTTTAATCATGAAAGGACAGATAGTTTTTACTCATAGAAAGTGTTGTTTGATCCTCTGATATGTTATAGATGCTGTGTCTGTGACTGTGTAGATGCTCATTAAGATACCATGACATTTGAACAGGGACGGAGTTATAGTTCTGCTTACGAGTTTGGTAAAACTCTGTTTGTGTGAACCATGTAAATTGTCCTTTCTAGAATCTAGAACTCTGTGAACCATGTAAATTGTCCTTTCTAGAATCTAGAACTCATAAGTCATAAACTTATAATTCTAGCTCCGCTTCCTTGGCCTTGTTAATACCATGGAGCAAAATCAGTGAATTGATGTCTCTGTAGTGATCATTGCAGTACAACAAATACCAGTAAGATAAACTTCATATTTGAAGACATTTTTCAAACTCTCTTTCAACCTCCCCAATCTCGATCTGAGCCAGATCTAGTGTCATATTATTTGTCTAGATTACACTTAATGTTTTTGGAACACTATTCTTTTTTTGTACTAGCCAACAACAATAACAACCCAGTGAAATCGATAAGTGGGATTCAGGGAGGGTAGAGTGTACGCAAATCTTATCATTATCTTGTGGAGCTAGAAAGATTGTTTTCGAAAGGCCCTCGGCTAAAGTGCATCAAATTCAAGTAAAAGAAAATGCATAACAGTTAATAAGAAAAGTGTTGTAAAGTCTATAAGAAAGAAACAATAACAACAAAATAATATGATAATCGTAACACAATAAACAATATAATGCAAGACGTACAAGGGAACGTCTAGCATATTACGACAAGTACTAAAAAGCCTAAACCTTCGCAAGGCAACACAACACTTTATCCCTACTAATCTTCTACCCTAATATGCGATCTCCACTCTTTCATATCTAGAGTCATGCCCTTAATAATATGAAGTTACCATGTTGTGTCTAATCATCTTTCTTCAATACTTTTTCAACCTACTTTTACATCTACGATTATGCCTTACAACAACCTCTTGCACCTCCTCACTAGGACATCAACGTAATGCATCCTCTTCACATAATCATACTATCTTAGTCTTGCTCTCCTCATCTAGTCCACCACGGAGGTTACTCCCTCCTTCTCCCACATAACCTCATTCCTAATCTTGTCGCTCTTAGTACGCAAACACATCCATCTCAACATCTTTATATCAGCAACATGCATCCTCTAAGGGTAGCATATCTTCAGAATTGCCAGTAGGGGCAGGTGTAGTGTTGGAGTTATAGGTTCATTCGAGTCCAGAAATCTTAATTCAGATCATGTATATGTGATTAATATTTTTTTTGACTAAATAACTATAAATTTTAAATAATTGATAGAATTTCGAACTCAAACTCACAAAGTTCAAATAAAAGAACAATTAATCTAATCACATCTCACTTTCAAATTGGTGAGGACGACTATATGAATCCTCTGTAGTCATTTTATCTAGTTCTAATCCTCCAATCACAATAAACTTGTGTCTATTGATACAGGGATTGACTATTTAAATCTTCGCTTCTCAAATTAAAAGCAAGACATTTAGAGTTAATATCTTTAATGGTCATTCGGGTTGATGAAATAACATAACAAAATAACGAAAAATGATATCTAGGAATAAATTAAAAGGAGACACAGAAAAAAGAGACTATTAATTTTTGAAAAAATATTAATTATTGCACCTGAAAAACTCTGATTTTGGTGCTCCTTTTGGTAGTTGGGGATTTAGTCTGGTAGTTGGATAATTAATTGCATTGTTTTTTAAGTTTTTTTTTTTTCTCATTTGGTGTCTGATAACTGCACTAAAGTCTGAAGCCCAACTATATCTAGATTTCCATTGCGTAGGGTCTTATTCAGGGGGAATGCTTCCTAGTTCCTACTAAAAAAATTTCCATATCCAAGGCTTAAACTCGAATCTTCTGATTAAATGAGGAGCAACCCTATTCACTACATCACATTTTTTGGTGGTTTATTAAGTATTTTGGGTCACATTGAAATGTCATAATGTGTGTATTTAAGGATAGTAAAGTTGGTAGGTGGGTTGGTGTCGCTGATAAGGGTATTAAAGTGTTCTTGGGAAAGTTGATGCACTATAATATGTCAATGATACAATTCGATTGATTATTAAATTACTGTATATCGTATAATTTTTTAATTAGTTTAATGTGCATAAATAAATTTGAATTTTTCATAACCATCATGATCATTTCGATTACTCTTCTATAATGGTATGATTTGATAATTTTTCAATAATTTTTTTCTTCAAATAATCTTATCTAATAGCTAGGCATATTGTTATTATTAGAATGTAGTATTTCTCATATAAAATAATAACAAACTTTAATATAATGCAGAAAATGCACGATCCTCTTGAACACGTGCAACTAATATGACAAATCTCCCATCCTCTTTCTTTTTTATATAATTAATTGGACCAATGAATATTGAATGTATACGAATCAAATTAGGTGTATATGAATGAAATTAGATGGTTTTATTTTTCAATTTTTCTGACTTATAAAGGAACTATCGATACTATATATTAATTATATTAAGTAGATTCGTTGAAAACTTGTTTATGTAAACTATGCTTCCTTCCAAAATTACTTGGGATCAATTTATTCTGTAATTATTGATTTATGATCAGATACTATTAAATTTAATATTTTTGACGGGCTTGATTAGTGTTTAAAAGATTTCGTTGGGACTTGCCTCAGGGCTCGTTTTGGAGCGGGGCTCTAGCAAAACACTCCGAGACTCTAGTGTGAGGCTTAGTTTTATAAGACTTACACCATAAGCGTCTGACTATACGCTCTAAGCATGCTTAACACCCAATGCTCGGGGCTCGCCTAACATATCTTACATAAATTATGTGTTAAAATCTTTAGTTAACATTGTTGACCTTCATAATTCTTGAATAAATGAATGATACTTGATAATTTTTTAATCTATAGAGATAAGAAGATTGAGAGTAACTCATATTCAAGTTGTAGTATTGCATCTTTACTATTTGTAACACTGTGAAGGTGATTATATATTACGTAACATTTATTTTAAAAATACGTAGCGAAATTTTACTTTTTCACTTATTATTGGTCTCATGGTTTGGTCATATGTCTCAAAATTATCATATTTTATTTAGTTATTTGGAAGTAATTTTATTTTATTCATGCAGTGATGTTTTTAGTATAATACTAGTAAGTTTTATTGATTATTTTCTTTTAGGGGGTAAATTGTATAGTATGATAGAGTTTTTTTTTTATAGAAATAATGATTCTTTAATTATTAGAAAGTTAAGATGTTAGATTATTTATACTTATATATATTTTCATGTTAGAAGTTTTATTTTCTATGAGTTTCTTCTATCGTGTTTGTAATTATTTCAAACTATTGAAGTATTTTTATAATTTTGTGTATTCTATTACTATACCCTATACTAAGGGCCCGTTTGGCCATAGATTTCCCAAGTAAAATTTGGGAGAATTTTTGGCAAATAGTGTTTGTCCATACAACTTGCCATTATTTGACAAATATTTTTGGCAAATAACCCAAATTTTCAAATACTAGAAAAAAAATTAGAATTTGGGCCAAATCTCGTTATTTGGGAGCTTTAATAAATTCAAATTCTACATCAAACTTTTATATTTTACAAAAACATCCTCTATAGTAGTTGTTTGCGCTGTATTACATGATTTTTTACGTGAATATCAAAGCAATGATGGAATGTTCAGTGAATATGAAAGTGATGATATGGTTATTGATGAAAATGACGAACAATTGACTCAGGGTAATAAAGGGTAATAAAGTCAGATTCTTCGTCTACTTCACGATGTATGAAATGATGCTTGTTGCCCTCACTCCGAACTACCACATTGCTCCAATGTCATGGACACTACTTGTTATTTTCTGCAACAACGATCTAATTGACTTGTTGCGGAAGTCATAAATCTTGTTACGTCGATGTTTCTATTTTGTTATGTAATACAAACATATGGTTAGTTTTAATAGTTTTTAAAACTTATGAATATAAATTATATTTCTTAAAAAAGTAAAATATGTTTCCCAAATATTATGGTCAAACACATGGTGAAATTTCACCCAAATAATATTTGCTAAAAATATTTGGAAATCTATGGCCAAACGCTAGCTAAGTAAAATGCCCCGCCTCACGCCCCCGTTTTTTAAAACAGTGAGCTCAACCATGAATGATCCATTCATTAAGTAAGTTTTTTTCTCAATATGAACTAAGTCATTTCTTGCCTTTTCAGAAAGACTTATAAAAAATCGCCAGCCGCATTAGTCTTCACACATTGGACATGGACAACTTACCATCAGCATGAGTTGGAGCTTAATTGTTAATAGAAGTCAAAGATATCATGATTCATACAATAATATAACACTATCTCAATTATTATTATTATTATTATTATTATTATTATTATTATTATTAGTAATAGTAGTAGTTTCATTCGTACTAAATATATGGGATATGGTCGATAAAATGATCAGAATGATCCTTATAGGATCAGACTATTTTAATCCTTTATTAACAGGTAATTGAAATAGTTTTTAATCTATAAAAAGTGATTATTCTAGTTTTTTTTTATATCTATCACGTAATTAAAATAGTCTATAAAAAATCGCCAGCCGCATTAGTCTTCACACATTGGACATGGACAACTAACCATCACCATGAGTTGGAGCTTAATTATTAATAGAAGTCAAATATATCATGATTCATACAATAATATAACACTATCTCAATTATTATTATTATTAGTAGTAGTAGTCAGTGTTTTAAAAGGTGGGGCGTGAGGTAGGGCGTTTTACTTAGATAGGGCGAGTCGTAAGCCTTGAGACGTGGGGCATAAGCCCTATGGA